CCCCAAAACCCCAAAACCCCAAAACCCCAAAACCCCAAATTTAGAAAGATTTTAGAAAATAAAATAGTATAAAATGGCTAATAGTGTTCACTTTGAAGAGTAATTTTTGTTTTTATTTATGTAGATATGATCTCACTCCGTTTGAAGAATTTAAATATGATCAAGTTAAAAATATGGGTAAGAACTTAGCTTCATCTTCAAAATTAACACTCTCTTGCGTCTGACTCAATCATCCCAAAAATTATGCGAAATCTTTAATAAATGTAGAATTAAATTTTAGCCTTTAGGGAACGAAATTTCAAAATACCTTCTCTGTTTCTTCTTGTTGCTAATTTTTGTTTTATATAGCCATCCAAAATGCAATAAAGATACGTAAATAAAAGAGACAGACACACAGAATTTTATCATACTCTCAACAATCTTTGTGATGGAATACAACATTACAAGAATATGATGAAGTAAGCTTTGTTCGACATTCTTTAGCTTGAACCAAGAGAAGCCTAGTAAACCACGCCCGAAAGTCATTAAGGAGCCTGAAATAAAGCCTTCTAAGGTATCAATGAATCCTGATTCTTCTAGAAAACTAAGGGTCTTAAGAAGATTGCCAATAAGCGCAGGCCTTCGCTTTATCAAGGATCTCGCCGCTCATCAGCTCATCAAAGTTCTCATAACCCATCCCTTACGAAGCCAAGATTGAGCAAATACTACCAAGAGATGAAGATTATTGAGGAAAGTATCCCTCTTAAACTTGAAAATGAAGAGGAGAGTCAGAGAACTTTGGATCAGAGCCCAAGCGCACAGAAAGAAGTGAATCATAGCTATGCCCATACCTCGAGACAGCGTACTTATCAATCCATAGATAGGTTCATAAGCACCCAGAGGAAAGTTTGGAACCTCAACAATAGCTCTCCAAACAAATTAGAGAAAATTTCTAATCAAGCAGCTAAACTTGTTTGAGGAATTGATCCTTCTAAGTTTAGGAACACTTCCTTTCCTATTAAATCTTCCTATCTTAAATAAGCTTGCGAAGAATAGGCAAATTTATGAAAGAAGAGCTTATATGCATAATACTAGCCTGAAAAACGATGATATTTCGTGCCCAAAGTTAACTAATCACACTGTAGACCAGAGCCATTCCTCATGAAAAGACTCTGGTAAAGTTTACAGCACCTCTCTAAAATTCCATTGTCAACGTAGGCCTTTTAATCAAGAAAGGCTTGTAAATCTAGCAAGACCAAAAGAACCCCTAAAAATTCCAAAGAAAATAAAGAAGAGAGGATCCTTATTAAAGTGAAAATTATTTGACAAGGGACAAACTTTAGGAATTTCCAAAAAGATGAATCTGAGTTACTCCTTGCCACCAAATAAGAAGGAAAAGCAGATCCTCTTCAACAGTGCTAAAGCAAGTAAGATAGTTTGTATCATGTAGTAGATGTATATGGAGTTCCTTTAGATAAAATTCCTCTTTTATCAAGATCTATCACTGATTATACTACTCCTAAAACCAAGAACAGAATGTTGGCAAGGAGCTCTTTTTACATTCATAAACTTCAAAAACAGAATATCAAGAAGAATATTGACAAACAGCATGTAAAGATTCCAAAGCTGAGTGCACGAGACAAGAGTTGCTAAATTTTCACCTAAAAATTGAACACTTATCCATAAAATTTGATCACAAAATTTTCCAAAATTTCATCAGAAATTCAGCTCACCACCATCTGTGGTCCAAATTCTGACCTCCACTGATCCTGTGGGCAAAATTTTTGCTTGAAAATATCTCTAAAAGTTAGCAAAATTATTACCATTTTAAGCAAGATGACTCATATAATAATCATAGTTATACAGGTAATCGTAACCCATTACTCTAGAGTAATGGGTGGCATAATCATGAGCCTGTTGGTTAAATTCTCTTGGTTTTGGAGAGGCCTGAAACTCATTTTCTAGGCCGATAGGAGGGCTGGAAAGGGATGGAATGGGTTTGTAGAGACCTAACGGATCAATTCCGTGGTCATAAGGTATGTTTAGGGGGTATATGGGTTGAGTTTGGGGGTAGAATTGCTGTGGGGGAGATTGTGGGTAGTGAGGTGGGAAGGAAGAAGGGGTGAATGAAGGAGGAGGGTATTCTTGAGGGTGGAAATGGGGGTCTGAAGTAGTGTAATGAGGGTCTGAGGGAGCGTAGTGAGGATCTGGAGTGGGAGTTTGGGGTGCTTGAGAGTAGTAGATTGGACTTTCAGAGGTCTCTGAGGGATTAATGGGGAATGTATTGGTTTGGCCTAAAGTTGGAGTTTCGATCGCTTTCTGAGTCTCATATGTTCCTTCATTGTAAGTAGATATCTCTGATGTGCAATCTCCTTTAGAGTTTTCACGGATAAAAGTCTTGATCTCACTTACTGCTTTACCCATATTCCGAGATTTTCCACAAACTTCTATTACCCTTATGTTCGTATTCGGATCAGGAAAATGAGGAACATAAATTTTTACACCAAATTTATTCTGAATATCTTCAAAGAAAGTGACTCCATTTCTTAAACTCTGTAATACACCTGGTTCAACCATCAGAGATGCTCATTCTTCTGGGACAGAGATTGGAGTGATGGAATCATTCATATTCTTTTCATTGAATAGCATTTTCTTTCTCTGAATTTGCTCCCAATCCTCTATTACACCATGGATTAACTGTTTGGCAAATTCATATTGGCCTTCAGTTCCATCAATAAAGATATATCTCTCATTCTTTTCCTTTCTTTTATCTTTAGCCACCTGAATTTTAGTATTAGATTGTTCTTGAAGAAGCTTTATTGTGCTCCCTTCTTTTCCAATTATCAGGGCTGTTCAGCCATCTGGCACAGACATTACAAAAGCAGTCTTACTTGGAGGGCCTGTTAGGGTCATCAGGCTATCTGGAATTTCTCCACTTATACTCTCTTGAAGTGTGTTATTATTCATTGAATTTCCAATACTTAACTGTTGATATCTCATTTCTTGCTTAGTCTTTGAATCAGCAAAGACTATCTTCTGGACTGCTTCAATACCTCTCTGCAGTACCTCTTGGGTAGGAGCGAGTACTAAAGCATGTTGCTCCTCGGAGTCATCTGATTTGAGCTTGTCGCCACTCTTATTAGTTTCCTTTCCTCTTAAGAGGATCTTACTGCCAGTATCATTTTCAAGTTTCTTCTGAAAGGCTCCTCTAGGGCCTATCAGGAGGCCTGTATAGTTAACTCCATCCTTGGGGAAGTAAATCTTTTCCCTAAATTTAGTATTATTCCCCATAGGTATATCCTTATCAACCTTTAAGGCAATTGCAGCATTAGTTGATAACATTCTTTTCTGGATTTGTTTGATAACCTGTTCATCGGGCTCTTTGGGAGCATCAGCCCATTTACTCCTCTTCCTTTTCTCAGGAGGGCAATTATCTATTGGCTCAAACCTTGACTTTCTTTTTCGATTCGTTCGATGATCCCTTCTAGATCTATAATGCTCGGAGGAGTGATGAGAAGAGCTATTGTCTCTTGACTTATGTGACCTTCTTGACATTAAAATTACAGATTAATCTGCTTGGTTTATAGCATATTTTCCTAATTATTCGAATCTTTCAATTGAAATTTCGCTTAGAGGGGTTTTGGGGTTTTGGGGTTTTGGGGTTTTGGGG